AGCAACGAGCGGCACCATCAGCAACGAGCGGCACCATCAGCAACGAGATCAAGTGGCACTTAGTCACCAATAACCTGCTCACTGATGCTCATTTTGGGTTCAACCAGGTTCATTTGGCTCTAGCCTTCAGTGTAGCCTTAGACCAAACATGATTATAACAAACCTACATTTTAGATCTGAAGTGAGACTGATTGCCATTGACAGCAAGGCAGCATTTGATGTGTGTGGATTCAAGGAAATCAATGTGAATCATTGGAAACTCTCCACTGGAATGAATCACACCCAACACAAAAGATGATATCTGTGGTTTTGAAGATCAATCATTTCAGCTGCAAGATACCACTATGGAGTTCCTTACATCACTGCCCTAGGTCCAACCATGCTACTTCACCAAGGACCATACCACCATCAGAAGCTCAGAAATGGTTTTATTCACTGAAAATTGCACTATGTTCAGACAATTGAAGGTCCTCAAACAACGAGGCAGTTTACACCGACATACAGCAAAACCTGGACAATATCATGGCTTAGACTGACATATGGCAAGCAACCCCCTCCACTCCTAGCACATAGTGGCAGCAGCAGTGTGTGCCATTTACAAGATGCACTGCAGCGACATGCTAAAGCTCCTAGAGGGGCACCATCCAAACCTACAACCTCTACCATCAAGAAGGACAAAGGAGAGTCCAACACCAGCAGATTCCCTCCAAGTTACATCATGCTGACTTGGAACAGTATTTTTGTTGCTTCAACGTTGCAGAGTAAAAATACCATCTCTGAAAGCACTATGGGGTAACCACACCACATGGACTGGAATGTGGCTTAAGGTGTTGGTTCAACAAAAATTTCTCAAAAGCAATTAGGGATGCGAAATAAATGCTAGCCTTTCGAGAAATTCAATGAATGAATTACAAGATGCTTTGCTACATCGGTAAACTGTAATCTCAAATACTGTCTTTCATTTGAGACAGTCACAAAGCAGCGCTGGGAAGACAGAAAGCCATGCAATCACACCAATATAACAACCGAAGTTTGGTGACACATGCCTGAGGAGATGATTTGGCTGTTGAATTGCCTAGACCAAGCTTTCCATAATCACCATCACCAAAAGCCCAAACCATCATCCCATCGGTAGAGACAGCTAAGGTGTGATTTAAACCACATGCAACCTGTAAAGAGAAACATGACAATTTAACATCAGATATCAATGATAATACCAAAACCAGAAGGAACAATCATTACTCAAATTAATCTAATGAAAGCAAAGTACTGTGGCTGCTGGAGGTAAGAAATAAAAACACAAAATCCTGCTGGAAAATCTCAGCAGATCTGGCAGCAACTATGGAGAGAGAAACAGAATTAACGTTGCTAGTCCAATGGGACTCTTTATGGGAACCCACTTCAATTCAATTCCAAAGAGGTGGCTAGGTGGTTAGTGCTGCTGCTTCACCGCGCCAGGGACCCGGGTTCGATTCCACCCTCAGGCGACTGTCTATGTGGAGTCTGCACATTCTCCCCGTCAGCGTGGGTTTCCGCTGAATGCTCCGGTTTCCTCCCACAGTCCAAAGATGTGCAGGTTCAGTGGTTGACCAAGCTAAATAGTGTTCTGGGATATGCAGGTTAGATGGATTAGCCCTGGGAAATGCAGGGTTACAGGGGGAGGGTAGGGAGATGAGTCTGGGTGGGATGCTCTTTAGAGAGTTGGTGTGGACTTGTTCGACTGAATGGCCCGTTTCCACACTGTATGAATTCGATGAGTCATACTGTTTCTCTCTCCACAGTTGTTGCCAGACCTGAGATTTTCCAGCAGGATTTTCTGCTGAAATTCTTTAACACTTTGTTTTTATTACCAAAATTGCTTTCATTTGGTACTTTTTCCTCCCCTGGACTAAATTTCAACCATCCTCTCACCTCTCTAATGTGTAGATACCTTTACTGGGTGTTACCACCATGGTTAGAGACAAAAAAATCTGCAGATGCTGGAATCCAAGGTAGACAAACAGAAGGCTGGAAAAACACAGCATGCCAGACAGCATCTGGAGGAAGGGAGAAGTCAACGTTTTGGGTATTACCCTTCTTCAGGACTGGATGTGGGGGTGGGGGTGGGGAGACGGGAGCAGAATGGTGATGATAGCTGGACGGTGATGATAGCTGGACATCGGTAGTAGGTATGACCTGACTGGTCGATAGGGATGAACGCAGTTGGTAGCTGGAAGGGAAGGTGTGTACGTGGAACAAAAGGGAGGAGGCAGGGCTGGAAAGGGAGCTGGGATGGGTGGGAAGGTCATTTGAAAAGAGAGAACTCAATGTTAAATCCTCCAGGCTGTAGGGTGCCCAAGTGGAAGACAAGGTGTTTTTCCTTAAATTTGCGATCTGATTCACTGTGACATGGGAAGAGGCCGAGGATGGACATGTCGGAGGAGGAGGAGGAGAATTGAAATGGGCAGTGACAAGGTGGTTAGGCTGGCTGTTTAGGGCCAGGTGAAGACGCTTGGTGAAACAGTCACCAAGTTTACGTTTGGTCGCAGTGATGTAGAGAAGACCACATTGGCAGGACCGGATGCAGTAGACTAGGCTGGAGGAGATGCAGGTGAAACTCTGTCTCACCTGAAGGTCTGTTTAGGTCCCTGGATGGAGGTGGTGTGTGGGCAGGTATTGTATCTTTTAAAATTACAAGGGAAGGTACCAGGGGTGCTTGGAGTTGTTGGTGGGGAGTATGGCGCAAACTAAAGAGTGGCAAAGGGAATGGTCCTTGTGGAAGGCAGAGAGGATTGGGGAGTGATAGATGTTCCAGGTGATGGGGTCTAATTGGAGTTGGCAAAAGTGATTGAGGATGATATGTTGGATGTGGAAGCTGGTGGGGTTGAAAGTGAGGACACTACGAAAGTGAGGGACCCTATATTATGTCTAGGGCATTGGGTTTAGAGCTGTGGAGCGGGAAATGGAGGATGGCTGCCTGGATGACAGAGAGGAAAGAGAATGTTGCTGGAAATAGGAAGACATCTGGGATGCTTGGGAGTGGAACGTCCCCTCGTTAGAACAGATGCAGTGGAATTGGAGGAATTGGGTAAACGAGGTGGGAGGAGGTGTAGTCCATGTAGTAGGGGAATCTGCGCGTTTATAGTAAATGTCGGTCTGTAAACTGTTGCCGGAAATGGAAACCGAGAGGTCATGACAGGGGAAGGGAGGTGTCTGAGACAGATCAAGTTTAACCTGGGTGCAGGATGCAGCGCCGATGCAGTCATCAATATAACGTGGAAGAGTTGGGGAACAATACCGTGTATGTACTGAAGAGGGACTGTTCGATATAACTGACAAAGATGTAGGCTTAGCTGGCACCCATGTGAGTGCCCATGGCAACCCTCTGGATTTGGAGAACGTGGGAAGAGTTGAAGGAAGAGTTGAGGGTGGGGGCATGGGGGGATGGGGTTTAGGGAGGTGGGTGCTGTTGGGGATGAAGATCTGGACTGCATTGGCTTGGAGGGTAGTTAAGACCCGTAACCTCACAACCTTTAGAAGCCCTTGGATGAGCAGTTGAAGTGTCATAACATTCAAGGTTAGTGCTGGGAAGTGGAAATAATGAAGGCAGTAATGTATTTTTGGTGGTATAGACTCGATAGGCTGAAAGCCCTCTTCTCTACTGCATGATTGTATAACTTCTGATTGGACTATATTATTTTTAAATAGTGCAGTAACTTAGATTATTCTGAACAAGGGGCAAAAACCACCTCCTTGATGCAAACTCTTGATGTCTGCTCTTGTCTGTTAAAACCATGCACTATTCCAGCATCACCTGGGTCCTTGAAGACCTATCATCTCGAAATTACCTTCAGTCTAGACTTCCTATGAATATTGCAATAAGTGAGTGGTTGTGTAAGAAAACGATTCTGCAAATTTTCAAAAGTTGGAAGTACAAACTGAAAGTTATGGAATTATACAAAGATAGCAGTGCTTGTGAAGTGCTGAATCAAGCTTTGAAATTCCAGAGAACTGACTGTCCAATTGCACATCTCCAGCACTGTCTAGTTTTGGCCTGATAATTTATTTTGATTTATACAAATCCTCTGCAGTGTGATGATTTTAAGCATCTCAATGTTAATACAAACTTGGTGACAGACTACACATCAATCGTGTATTAATATACACTGCAAGCAATTCTAAAAATAATTATCACTGTCCTTGACAATATTTATCATTTCCAGATTCAGTAATCATCATGAAGCCCTGATTCCTTGATACTTAATAAAATGCAATATACCATACCTGTCCAACCTGATAGCCTTCTAATGCTACCACTCTCTCAGGCAGCTTTTTATTGGATGTGTTACCTAGTCCCAAACGACCATAGTCACCATTTCCAAACGTGAACAACTTTCCATCTGCAGTAACAACTGCTGAATGTTTGAAGCCACAGGACATCTGTTTGAAACAGAAACAAATAAGTGAAAAGGGCATTCTGTAAAATATGTTGTGTCAATTCAACGTTATAATAAGTATACAGCTCCTCAGAGGTCTTCCCTGCGTAGTTAACGGTCTGTAACTTTAAAGCCAAAAAAACCCCTTTTTATTTAAGGTTTCTATCTTACTGAGGAGGCTTCCAGTCAAATCATACCCAACAAATTGCTCTGAAAACTCCTGTTCACATTTTGACAGGTGTGACAAATTGCATCACAGCTGATGGACCCCAGAACATTCTCAATCAAACAAACCACAACATCTGCCAATGTTAATGAATCTTTTAAAAACACTCCAAGATCTGAATTCACATCTGAATCCAAAAACTTAGCAGATCCTCATTGTACCAAACTATGTGCATAATTTTAGTTGAAATTCATCCATTTGTTTCAGGCATATATTATTTGCTGACAAATAAAAGGTGAAAACATATTGCCTGGTTTCTGTGATGGCAAACCAGTACAATATTCCAATGAAACAGATTTTATTTTTAAATCCAGCTTAACTCTTGGAGTTGTAGGCTATATTTTTCTTTACGGCCAAAATTACAATAGTAGACAATAATACTTCTGATTTTTAGGAAAACTGCATTTAAAAAAAACTGTTTGATATAAAAAGTAAGTGCCAAATCAGTAGTTAATTAGTCAGCTTTAGTTCTTTCACATTTGAGCTATTTATGTGTCATTATCTTTAATACTGGTATGAACAGACAAACCATAACAGAGAAACTGCAAGATATAACAAGAATTGCAGATGCTGGAGTCAGAGACAACATAGTGTGGAGCTGGAGGAATACAGCAGACCAGGCAGTATCAGAAGAGCAGGAAAGTTGATGTTTCGGGTCAGGACCATTCTTCAGAAAAGGGGAGGGGGATGGGAGCTGGGAAATAAATAGAGAGAGGAGGGGTGGGGCTGGGGAAGGTAGGTGGGATGATGATAGGTGGGTGCAGGTAAGGAGTGGTGGGAACTGGTTCATGGGATGGGTGGGGCAGATAGGTGGGAAAGATGATGATGGACAGGTTGTGTCAGGTCAAGGAGGCAGGGATGAGAGGGAAGGTTGGTCATGGGATGAGGCCAGGGATGGGGAGATTTTAAAACTGGTAAATTCCATGTGTTCAGTCCATCGGGCTGTAGGCTCCTGAGGCAAAATATGAGGTGTTGCTCCTCCAGTTTGCGGGTGGTGTCATTGTGACACTGGAGGAGGCCCAGGATGGACATCACCCAGGGAGTGAGAGAGGAAGTTAAAATGGTTGGTGACCGGAAGGTGCTGTCATTTGTTGCGTACAGAATGCAGATGCTCTATGAAAATGATCTCCGAGTCTACGCTTGGTCTCACCGAAGTAGGGATGCCACATCAGGAGCAGCAGATACTGTAGACCAAGTTGATGGATGTACAGGTGAACCCCTGTCTGATATAAAAGGTTTGTTTTGAGCCTTGAATGGAGGTGACGGGGGAGGTGACGGGGGAGGTGACGGGGGAGGTGACGG